TATAAATTTTATAAAGATAATAATTAAGTATTCTGTTAGAATTTAATGATTATACTAATTATATTTTAGATTTTTTATATTTAAAATGAGATGTTTATCATGTATTTGATTGTGTTATCTGCAGTTAGTTACACGAATTCAGATATGAGATGAAATCAGATAGGAATGAAATCGTTTAGGGATGAACGAGTTTAACCAAATACTTTATAAGATAGTATATATATATATATATATATATATATTTATATATGTATGCGACCTATTGAGATTCACGGCACTCGTGTAGTCATGTGGATAGAAACCTTTGCGAAGTTGGATTCAATGATTCTACGGAGTGTTCAACAACATTAAATGAGGCCTCATTAAGGAATATAATTTTTAAATACCTGACCTAACCCTATTCGATCCTTAAGGAATCAAATGAGTTGCATTTCTGTTTTCTGCTGCGTTTTGTGATTTTATAATACATATCATGCATTTTAACTAAAAACTTCTCTTTCGGCCCTTGTGAATTATATCAGAACGAGGCACTTTAGGTCAATGACATAAAGCTTTTGCTCCACCACAACAACAAGCAATGAATTTGGTGCCAGTTAATTTTTGTTTCTCAAGAACCGATCACATAAGATTAATTCGGTTTTAAGAATGATGAAATCCCACAAGAAGAAATGATGGGATGAAGCTTCTTTCCTTTAGGAAAGAACGCAAAGTTACAGAGTTGCCGGAGTTGTGGAGGTTAAGGGGGCGGCTGTTTTTAATGACAGAAGCTTCGTGGAAGTTGCAGAGACGATGATCGTATTAGGCATAACTTGTGCTACGATAAAATGAGTCTTTTATTAGCGAGAGTAGTTGATGGACGTTTAAGATTGTACACCATATATCTTATCTAAACAATTAATTTGTTCTTGGGACAATGTATATATATTGTGATTTAGGAAGTTCAATCGACCAAGTTCAACAACCTAATAAAAGAAAAAAAGAAAACCGACTTGTTAGATTTTTTGTAATACATATTTTGTAATGCGGGTGACTCCGGGCTATCTGCAAAGCAGGTGGTCGCTCTGGGATTAGTCGGCACGCATAGCGAGTTGGATATCCAGGTTAATAAAAAAAAATATCTTACCTGTAAAAAATGATAAGACGGAACTTTTCAAACAACCTATAAAGAAGTTAATAAGATGATTTTTTGGCGTCATATTAGGTTGTCTAACTTCTTCGATCGAACCTTTTAGATATTCTAAATTTGTCCTAAGAGCTTATCTAACACCTTAGATGAGACTTATAGTTCTTGGCTTATAAATTTAATGCCTCATTATTAGGATGACCAAGGACACTTAGACACCCTAAAAGACCCTTGTTGTAATGCTCACTACTAAAAAATCTGGTTTTTCCGACGGATTTTTCCGCCGGAAAAACCCCGCCGCTAAATGCAATTTTTGACGGAATTTCTGACGGATTTGTATTTTCCGACGAAAAAATCCGTCGGAAATCCGTCGATCAATTTTATAATATGTTATTCATTACTCGAGTTAATTAGAAGTAATATAAAATGAGATTAGAGTTACCGACGGAATTTCCGTCGGAAATCCGTTGGTAAACCTTTTCCATTTTCTTCCAAAACAATAACCAGTTTTTATTTTAAAAATAAAAATAACATTTTTCCGACGGATTTCCGTCGGAAATTCCGTCGGTAATTATATTTAAATTTTTTCCCTAATTTAAAATATGAAAATGTTTTTTATTTTTAATAGACGGAAAATATTTACAAACGGATTTTCCGTCGGAAAATCCGCCAACTTTTTTTAATAAAACTTATATCTAATTATTTACCGACGGATTTTCCGCTAGAAATCCATCGAAAATGTAGCTGATACAGGAAAAAAACCAAAAAACCACCCAATCTAAAATCCTAAAATATAAAGATCTAGTAAATTAAATACAAATATACAATACACAAATATATCATAAATACCTAATATTAACTTAAACTTGGAAAAAAAATTAAAATTAAAACATTTTTTTTTAAATTTCCGACGGATTTCCGACGGAATTTAATTTAAAAAAAAAATAAATTCCGTCGGAAATCCGTCATAAATTTCAAACAAAAAATGGTTTTTTATTTTTTTCCTAACAAATATATATATGTTTAAATTTTGCGACGGAAATTAATTTTTTTAAATAAAAATTAAATTCCATCGGAAATTTTATGTTTTTTTTATTTTTTTCTAATATATATATATATATATATATATATATATAGGTTTAAAATTTCCGACGTAATTTATTTATTTTTAAATAAAAATTAAATTCCGTGGAAAATCCGTCGGAAATTTTAAAAGAAAAAATGTTTTATTTTTATTTTTTTCCTAACAAAGATATATATAAAGGTTTAATTAGCGTTAACCAAAAACAATTTCCGACGGATTTTCGACAGAATTCGATTTGTTTTTATTAAAAATTAAATTCCGTCGGAAATCTGTCGGAAATTGTTTTTGATTAACGCTAATTAATTTATTTAAATAAATTAGACAAATTTTGTGACGGATTTGTGACGGTTTTGAATAAGTAAAAAATCCGTCAGAAATCCGTTGAAAAACCGTTTTAAATAATTTTAATTTTTTTCCCAAAAAATTCAGTGGGGGATCTGTGGCGGATATAGATAAAAGTTGACTTTGTTTGACTTTTTTGGGATCCGTCGGAAATCCGTCGGGAATATTTCCGATGGAATTTCCGCCAGAAAAATCCGGCGGTGATACCCCTTTTTTTAGTAGTGGCTAGTTGATTAAGTCCTGCTAAAACAACACACTACAATAAAATTGGGTTTATAGGGCACTCCCAATTTTTAAGCGTTTTAATAGACATTTTATAAGATTTAATTTATAGTACAAAAAAAATAAAGCGTTCTATCTAAAAGCGTTGTAATAAGTTTATATGACGTTTTTTGACGTCGTAATAAGTTTTTAGGACACTTTGAATATAAAACGTCTCATTAACAACTTTATAGGACACTATTTGAAAAATTGTCCTATAAAATAAGTGTCCTATAAAAAATGAGTTTATAGGAGACTTTCTCAAAAGTGTCCTATAAAGTTGTTAATGCGACTCTTTGTATTAAAAATGTTCTAAAAAACTTGTTACGACGTCCAAAAACGTCATATAAACTTATTACAACACCTTTAGATATGACATTTATATTTTGCTCCTA